CATGTGGCCCCAATTCCTCCCGTTTTTTCTTAGGGTAGACTACAACTCCAATGATCACCAGTGATGAGTCAGCATCAGCGGTTGGATCAACTGGTCCATCCTTCATGATTGCGATGACCTCATTTGGCTGAAGCGACTATGGTGGATACGTGCGTACAGTGAACGCTCTTCTCCTTCATTGCGCATCCTCTGCATGCATGCAATCGGGAGCTTGCATAATTTTGGAACCCCCTGCTCGTCACATATGTGACGTACTACTTCCCAGAACCCGACACCTTCCTGTATACCCATGCTTTTTCCGCCCTCCTTCCCCTTCTTCCCCAAATCGAATGTACCCTCTTCGAATCTTCTCTTTTCGCGGCGGTTGAGAAAATTGCAAGTGATGGGTTAATGTCACTTAATGATCTTGTTCGGCTGAGGTTAATTTTTGAATTTTGTCGTTAACATTTTTGCTGAAATTTGTCTTCGCAGTTTCGAAATTCTTGAAGTTCGTAGGAATTACGCGTGCCTTAGCGAGCATGCATGGATTTTTGAAATGGGTCAGCCGACGTCCGGTTTCTTGGGCCGCAATTTGTGGCGACGTGTCCTTTCTTGTGAGCGATTTTCCCCGCTCACACCAGAATTGGCTGGGACTTCGCGCGAAAGCGCTCGGATTTTCGTATTCGTTCTTGCAAGTTGAATTAATCGGGCAAGTGCAACGCAACTGTTTCGTGCACGCTGCTTCGGCTGCTCGCCGTGCAGGCTAACTTCCGCGTTACCCCCTCTCTCCTCCCCACTACTACCCCCTCTTCTGCATGCCTTCTTCCTCATCTTTGTAACTGTCATCCATCCCCTCCCTCACCCTCCACACTTGCGCATCGTCTTTCTTCTTCTCCCTCCGAAACTTGTCTTGTGCGACTTTTCGACTGTCTTTTCCCTCCATGCTCTCGCACTCGTACAGGAGGTCCCTATCGATCCGATGAAACACCTCGCTAACCGGGCAATAGTAAGGAGCTTTCCCGCCCTCTGCACTACTATCTGATTGGTTGAGAGTGTCGGCTCCAGGATCGATATGGCTCTCCCGAGGCGTTCTCCTCTCCCTCCTTCTAATCCCTCGTTCCACTCCTTCGCGTCTATCTCGCCTCCTTCTTCGCAACTATAAAACCCGCAAGCGCCCCGTGGAAAGACATACTGATCCTGATACTAAGCTGCCCTGCCTTGCGCACCAAGTTGGTGGCTAGACAGAGTGATGATCGACACGCTCGGATAGTCCTAGTGAGCTGGTGGTGGTATGCGAAGTTGCGGGTTAGACGTCCACAACGGACCGTGGGTCTGAGCGAGCTTGCGCAGTAGCATGCCCGGCGGGGTGACGAGTACGTGGAGATCGGCTGAGAGTACGTGGCGGTCGGGCCGTCGGATCAGATTGGAATGGTGATCGGTCGTGAGTTGGCATGGCTAGAAGGCATGCGGCGCAACCGAGGGGATTGCGCGTTCTTTTCTCCACCTTCTATTCTATCTCTTGGGAAGGTAAGTTTTCGGCGCGGCGATGCCTTCACTTCGGTATCCATCGTCTCTTTTTGACTATTTCTCTCTTTGTGGATGACATGGTTGTGAATTCGATTGCTATAGATGGATCGTATATTTGAGCTTGCATGGATGTCTCTTGTTGCGACGTTTTGGAGTAAGATCATCTTTCGTGTATGCAGATTGATGTGTGATTTCATATGGGAATGTTGTCCTGGATGGGCCTCTGCTGTCGAATGCATGCTACAAGAAAGATTGTTTGAATAAATATCGATAGAACGATTTGCATGTTGTGCTCATAAGAAAGCGATAAAACTCGATAGAACTGTGATTGGTTGTTCACGCAAATAGCACATTAGCCGAGAGTGATTGTTAGCGGCTGTCATATGCAATGTGGACTGAGAATGGCAACGTAGCGGAAAGGAATCCTGTGACGCCCAACCTCACGCCCGACGCGACTTCCTCATCGGAGTGAGATGTGGGCCTGGAAGTGCGAAAAGGGGTGTGCCAAGGATTTTTGGAAAGTGGGGGTGGAGTCCCAGGTCGGAACTGAGATCTCCTGTGGCGAGGCTCAGGGTTGTAGGAGAAATAAGGCTAAGGGACAGGTTACTTCTGCAATCGTGGCCGGAGCTGGTCGAAGCGCATTGCGGGGTCTAGAGAATTCTCACCATATCATCTCTTGTCTTTGCCGACGGTTCCGCGTCAGCCCGGAATTACCTTCTCTGCCGGTTTGGTTTTCGTGATGGTCCGTGGGGTGTGGTCTGCTGGCACGTGGCCTCGGCTTGGGTTCGTCGATCAAATCCCGGGGTGCAGGGTCGAGAGAGCGGCCGACACTCGTCGCGCGGCGTGCGGGGCCAGTACTGGGCTATGGAATTCCACAGGATCACCGTGAGTTGATGATACGGAAGGACAACTTGAAGGCGGAAGGGAGGGAAATAAGTGGCGATGATAACGAAGCCGGGGGAAATGTAGTACTGCGTGTTGTACGTAGTCGCGTAATCGGAACCCCGGGGGTCACTTGCCACTGAACGACGAAATTCGCGGGGACACACCCAGTTCCGGTTTAGGCAGGGAATTCTGGGCGCATCGTCCTAAGGCATTCTCTTATCCATGGTTCAAAATACTCTAAGGCGTCCGGTCTCATCATTTCGTCATCGACATGGCTGGGTAGGGGTTGATCGAAATCCCGTATGGACACGTAAAGGCCCTCCGGAAGTCGGGCCGCACTTACACGTGTTTACACGGGAGGTTCGATCCCACGTATGCTACCCGTAATGCACGACACTTTTAGCGGGGGGGATCGCGAGGTAACCGCGCGTGGACACGTGTACCCCGCGTTTACGGGTTCGCGTTTACACGTGCGCATGCGCAGTGTTAGATCGCACACCGCTTACTATCGGGTTCTTTCGTAAGAGAAAAAAAAAGGATCTTTTCATGTATGCAAAGATGGGTACGAGGCACATACAACTTTCCAACCATCCAATCGTTCCACCAGTAGCAAGCTTCCACGATCATAGAAAGTGACCGTACGTTAGGCGCAAAACACATTCATCAACATTAAATCGGACCATGCATGGTGGGCAAAGAGGACAAAAAAAAGACTATGAACATCACACACAGTCATCATACAAAAAGGGGAGAGACCGAGATCGAAGAAAACGCCGATCAAGGCGGAGCACAAAAAGAGAGATTGCCGAATCGAAAAGTAAGGGCGGATCGCCCGAAGCCGGAATCAAAATTTATATACACAGATGAAAAAGGAACGACAAAGAAAACTGCAATTCCATGTCCATCAACCTCAACTCCCTCTTCCTCTCTCTCGCTCTCCGATGCGGACAGTCCGTCGTTGCGCAACAACCCACGAAGTTGTCACCCCGCTTAGCCCTCCCGCACCCGTCAGGTTTGGCCGCGCCTACAGTCCGTCGTGGCGCACGTCAACCCCGCGCGTTCGGCGCCAGCTCGTCGGGTCGCCCAACTCCCACTTCCACTCGCCTCTTACTTTGCTCGTGTGCCGACCCTTCCTAATCGCGCAACCCCGAGCTTCCAACAACTGGTTAAGAGAGCTATCTAATCGCGCAGCCGGAATTTATAGCGTGCATGCATGCACGAAGAACACAAAATTACAAGGACTTAAAAGGAAGAAAAGAGAAGGGGTTGCCTACGTCTACATGGCCAGACCACGGCGTGGGGGACGCAGGCACTCTCCACGCATCGATCCGATCATGCAGGCCGCGGCTACTTAGACGCAGCAAGAGAAAGGACAAGAGCGGGAAAGACGAGGCCCAAGAAGAAAGGTACAGTTACAATGGCGCCCACCCAAAATTACGGTTACCCTCGCAGGATTAAGGGCGCCGACTAATCAGAGTGCCAAGGCATCGGCAGAAAGAAGCGCGCAAGCGCGCGGCAAAAGGAAATCCTGAATTCCTAAGTTCCTACGTTTCTATCTAATGTAAAAAGGAAATAAAGCATGGAAATCCGACAAGAAAGTCTGAAATTCCGAGAGCCCTGGTGGCTCGGCAAGATAGCAGAAGAAAATTCAAAATTGAAAGGAAGGACGAAGCAAAATCCCGCGCGATACCCTCGCCCAAAATGTCCAAGATGGAAACAAGAGAAGCGACGTCAACATTTATTTATCGCGCGCAATGCGGCGCGCAAGCCATCCAGCCGACCAATCAACCGAACCGACCGTGCCGGGACACACCTAGCTCCGACTCAACTGCCAGAAAAAGGAACGCCGCAAAAAGTCGAAGAAGCGAGGACACCGATGCAATTTCCCATCAATCCCAATCTCCCGTAATTAGCCCAACCTTCCAAACTTAGGACCCCTCATTGTACTTCGCGCAGAAAGTCGCACGGAACAGAAAGTGGTTCGTCACATATGTGACGCCCAGGAGGTTCTTATTTTAAGCAAGCTCCTGCTTGCATATGACACGTGTCGATCTCTCTAATCGATCGCCACGTGGAACTTTTTCAATGCCACTTACCGTACGAAAGAGTGTGGATGTCATCCAGTGTGGCAAACATAACTCTGACTATGTAATCCTCAGGAAGGGCCTTTGATGATCCCAAGAGGGGATTACACATGCTGTTGCCGCAACCCGCAGCATGCATCAGTAAAGCTCGGGAGGGGAAAATGGATTTGGTACGTGGAGGGATGAAAATGAGAGGGATCAGCGGGAAGCGGGGGTAAAAAGCGCTCCATTCCCTCCACCGTGGCCTGAAGCTCCTCGTGTTCGATAATCCGGTGGAAGTGGGGGAACCGCTCGCCACTATGGGGAAGAGAAGCGAGGTAGTCGGGGTAGAGATGTAGAGAAGGTATGGAAGAGCGCCGCACGGAATGACTCATGATCGTGGCACGCGGGGATAGTCCCCGTAATCATGCAGTAAACCTCGATGGCGTTGTAATCTCGCCACGCGACATTGCAGAGAAGGACATGAAGACAGAAGACAGAGGTTGCACATTGAAGAGCGGAATGGGGTGGACAGTGACAGCGAAGCGGGTGGAGTAAAAATGATGAAAGGTGTTGGAAGGGAAGGGGTTATGAGAGAAGGTGACGCGGACGAAGATCGGACGGAGGGTGAGATGATCAAGGGGACGGCGGGATAATGACCGAGGATGAAGGCTGATTCCCTGCATCGGTACGTGGATGAACTAGGGGACGGGCTGAGGTGGAGGGGGAGGGGTATCGACTCCATCGCCGTCGCGATGTGCTCGAAGTCGTGGCCGTAAGGTCGCCATCTTCAGGCCGGGGTGCCTCCGGATCTCGGGCCAGATTGTCGTTGATGCGCAGATTCGCCCCACTGGCGAATTCCAACTGTCTCTTCCCGGCGGCGATTTCTTCCTTCTTGCGCACCGCCTCAGGGTCTTCTTCGTGCCGCTCCTCTTCCTCCGGCAGAGTCTCCCACTCAGATCCGCCTTCCTCCTCTTCGTCCTCCTCTTCTTCACTCTGCTCCCCTTCGCTATGCTCACTATAACTTCCTTCTTCCGGGGTTTCTCCCTCATCGCCTCCTTCTTCGACGTCTTCTTCTTCTTCCCCTGCTGCTACCTCTTTGTCTTCTACCCTCTGAAAGAAGGCGAGATCGATGATTCTGTAGGGGTTCAAATAATCCTGCTGCGATGGAAGGCTGCGATCACTCCCCAGCTCTTCCAGACACGCAGGCCACTGAAGATACGGCGTCAACGTCCATGTGAGAACGTGCGGAGCCGGACTTTCGTCGCTCTGCGAGACGATATCAAGGGGGAGATCATCCACCAACTGCGCGAGCGGAACGATGAGCTCTTGCACGACTAGCTGGCGATGGCCGGGCCGCACTGATCCGAAGAGGAAGCCAAGCATATCGCCTTCTACGTCGGTCCTCCAGGCCTGGATGATCAGCAGCTCGAGGTACTCGATCCACTCTCAGTGCTCGTCGTTCGGCGTCCACTTCACTTGCACCCTGATTAGACACAACGAAAGTTCGACAAAGCGATCACCCCACGATCGCCACCGCCTTGGATCGAGAAGTGGGACAGCGAGTGGTTCCAAATAAAAAGACAGGTGAGGGTGGATGTCAGACTGCCAGAAGGTGGGAAAAAGAGAGGAAAGAGCGAAGGTAGAGAGTTGCGGGTGGTTCATTGGGGACGTTGGAAAGGGGTGAGCTCAGGGAGCACTACTGTCGGCTCGTGCTGAGATGTCAGGATTCCTTCGAGGGCGATCCCGTTGGTCGGGATGAAACTGTATCCGTGGCGAGCAAGTCCGCGATTCCACTCGGCTACTATTTAATACGCCCACTCCCGTAACGTCGTCAGGATCGTGGTATGTCAAAGCGTGCTGACTTCACTGATATCCCCGCTGAACGCAATGACCGTGGACACGTGGCTCGTTCCCGGAGCTGATTGCCGATGAACAGTTAGCACTTCAGCCAACACAATCGCTTGGGGGCTGCCTGCAAACCGGAACTCCGCTGCTGCGCATAGACCCTTGGTGCGGAAGAACTGCGCCAGTCGTAGAAGATCGAGAGTGAGCCTTGGATGACGAACTTGCCGGATCACTGAGATGTAGCCGAGTGGACGTAGCAGATGATCGCCGAGAGCTCGCTCCGTGAAGAAACTCATGGCGGAGGAGGCGGGGAAGGGGAACGAGACAAAGGGGGAGAGACGGGCGATAGGCAGTCGTCGTCTTCTCCGGTAGAGGAGGAGAAGACCGTCGAAGGTGGAGATGGTGAAGAAGGAAGGGGGCGTAGATAGGACACGTGGCGAGTGATCGGGCGAGCCGATTGGCTGCCAGAGACTTTCGACACGAGGCGCACGCTGTTCACTCCGTTCAGTCCAAGCTCGACCACGCGAAATCGCCCAAAGAATCGTGGTGCTAGCTTACCCTAGCAAGCACATTTCCTTACCTGCACGACGTCCCCCAATTTGTACTGGGGCCATGGACCCGCGTTCCCGTTCCGGGCCTCGTAACTGCGGACCTGTCGGTCGTGGGCCAACTCGGTCATTTTTTGGCACTTCCGGGCCAACCTGGGAAGGGACCGTTCCATCAGTTCCAAGTGTCGCTTGGCCTTGTCCCGAGCCGTAACCCTTGTAGACCGCTGGTTCAACGTTGATTCGTCGGGGAGGCTCGGTATTGAAACCCAAGCCACGCTATTGGTCCGTAATTGAAAAGGGTTCAGGCCTGACGATTCGTGGGGCGTTCCGCGATGGACCGCCAAGATGTGATTTACGATGTGAGGCCAAGGCCTCGGATCCCGTGCCGTGATGTTACGTCGAAGTGCCGTCTTGATTACGTGATTCACATTTTCCACCATTCCGTTGGATTGGGACATATACGGTGCGGTGTTCCGGATAGCAACGTGATGGTCGTGTATGACCAGATTCCTTAACACTTCCCCTTTGAATTCTGGTCCATTGTCGGTCAAAATTTCTTCCGTATCCTGATGCATCCTGAGAAAACGGTTGACGTATCGTGCGATCTCAGATGCCTGCCGCTTGCGACACGGATATGTCTCGATCCATTTGGAAAAGTGGTCTACGAACACCAATAGGACTGAACACTCGCAGCTATTCGGTCCAGGGGGCACCAAAATATCGGTACTGTCCATACTAACCGTCTGAAACGGCTTCTCAACTAGCGTCGGTACTATCCATCTTGGCGGCTGAGTCGGCGCCTTGTCAGGAGAGCAGACCTGACAATTCGTGACGATGAATTTCACATTGTCTCGAATATTCGACCAATACCACTCGTTTTTATCGATGGCCGCCTCTGTAATCCGTACGGCGAAGTGGGCTGCCGTTTCCTCGTGTGCCTTTGTAACCCAGTCGTACCTCATGAACGTATGCGGCACAACCATCCAAATCCCACTACCATCCGTTTTCCGTTTTTCCAGGCGGCCTTCTACCCATCGATAATCCCGTGCCCTTTCATTGGCCCTCCTTCGGTCTTCTTTAGTGAAATCCTGGAGGGGTTACCCACCAGGGTCGCAATCAAGGCAATATACGTCCATACTTCGGCCCTTCTAACCCTCCGAGTCTTCTCTAATCCTTCTGACGTGGCATCTAGAAAACAAGCCACGGTCGGGATCTTATCAACCCGACACAAGGGACATAACCAGGACTTGCTGTTATTTCGGTATTGAATACACGAGCCGTGGGCTCGTGAGCCACTCGACAATCCACCCATTCCACATACCCTTCTCCGCTAGCCCGCATAGAGATCGAATAAACGCGCGAGATTACTTCACAAAAATAACAAAATTTGTCGGGGAGGGAGAGGAGAGACGAAGATGAGGGAGGAGAGAGAGGGGTAGGAAAACACCTCCGTCACCCATTGTCGCTTAGCTCCTTCTTGCCACGTGGCAAAACAACCACTTGTTTGTACTTGGGTCCGTTTGCAGGTCCTGGTTCTTTCCACAGAAAATTTTCCTCGCCCTTAGGTACCTTAGCGGGACAATGCAAGCGTGTCAACCCGTCCACGTTGTCGTGCCTCTCTGCCCTTCGATGAATGACTGCGAAGTCGTACTCCAGCAGACGTACCGCTGTCGAGCGCATCGGTCCAGCACTCCACTTGGCAGCGCGGGACCCTCCCGGCCGCGTCACGCAGGAGTTCGACCACCTCGTCACGAACATAATACCATGGAGCTTCCAATAGGCCGCTCT